AAAAAAAAGGGAGAGAAGTAATAAGTTTCAGTCTTTTCTGCAAACCTTGATTTTCTTGAGAATTCGAAAAAGAATTATTTGACGGAAATTTTATGCTATTTCGAGGGTTGTGTTAACAGTTAGAAACATTTAAGTTACGATATTCCGACTCATAACACAAACTGTTTCTGAAAAATCCAAAAGTACTGAAATTTTTTCTCAGAAATGTGACGAGTATTCCATTTCCTCTTTTCTTCGTAAGTGATATTTTGCAACTACGCTTGAGGATTTGTAGGTGTGACTCAACGAAGCATCGATGGACTGCTGATGGACTGCCTCTTCCCGCGCTCGTTAATCGAACAGCTTCTGAAATCACTGCTGCAAAATCGTCGATTAGTGCTGTTCGGTGCGACTGGTATCGGAAAATCGAATCTAGCTCGCTTGCTTGCTCGATATCTTTGTATCAAAGTTGGAGGAACATTTCAAAATACCGTCGTCGATATCAAAATTGGCGAAGATGATAATGATCGAAATATGGCACAGGTTTCCCCTTGAATTTGAAAAATGTTTGCATCTTATGGATCAGAATATATTGTTTAAATATCTGTTTCAGGAAGTTTTATATCTTATATCTTTTTATATCTTTATATCTTATTGTTTATTACTAATAATCATTAGAGCACGAAAAACCCCGATAATTTTGAATTGTTTTAAAATCGTCAGCAGCCTCTCTTCGCAGTAACCACAGATGTTGGTGGTGAGTTTTCACGCTGTCTCACGTGATGCAGGTCTACCGAAGTTCCGAGCGAGTCTTGATGTTCTTGGTGTTTTTTTTTTTAAATTCAGAAGTAACATATTTGGTAGCACACTGAATGTCTCAGTCTCTTAAGAAAGCGATATGTAGAGGAAGATTTGATGATATAATCAGCAGCCTTTTTTTGAGGACCTTCATGCATTTGTTAGCATAAAAATCATTTGTGCAGTATAACAAGAAAGATTTGAAACAAAGGATGCAGTTGTTAATTTAAAAAAGGTTGAATTGGACCGAAATGTCTTAACTCAATCTTTTTCCTACTATTTTCTTTATGCACCTTCCTTACTTTTGCACCCTAGATCAACCTAGACGCTACAATCGGCTTAGCCAAAAGATTGCAAAGTTAGAATTTCAAACTAGAATTTATGCATTTGATTGTGAAAATAGGAAATGAATGCAGTTCCCATCAAAGGTGTTCTTAGACTGCTAACAACGAGTACCTCGCTAACTAACATATTTTTAAAGGTGCAAAAGCAACTGGAGTCGCTTCTGCGGAGCACGAAACCATTGATCATTTTGCTGGACAATATCCATCGTCACCGGATTGCCTTCCTTAGCTCGTCATTCAGCACCGTGGATACACCATCAAAAGACGGACCTTATGTAATTTGCACCGTCAACAGGGCATCACGTCTACCAGAGTTACAGGTAATTTGGCTTTCCGCTAGTCTTCACGCTCAGAATGCGTGGTGTCTGGCAAGAAAGAGCTAGAAGTTCATAAAAATTTAGTTTTTTTTTTGTTTGATGCTGTTAGATATGAAAGAATGGAAGTTGTATAAGCCGCTAATGTGATTTATACTTTAGTTGAAAAAAAAGCGTTTTCAGTGGATACTGTTCGTATTTTTTTAAGTAAAAAACCAGTATGTGAAAATTAAAGGCTGTGGTTTTTTACGCGAAAATCGAATTTTCTTGAAATAAACGTTTTCCCTTAGTAGTAATCAGTAATGTGGCATGTAATATGTGTTGAAATGACCATTATTTTCTGCAGGTGCAGCATAATTTCCGCATGTTCCAAATGCCAAACAACGTTGATGCAATCCGCGGCTACATGGGACGCTTCCTGAGACGCCGGATACTGGAGCGAGAAATGAGTGGTGAAGAGCGCTCTGCTCCAGAAATTTACAGGATCGTTGAGTTTCTTCCCAGGGTTTTGTCTTCCGTAAATTCGGTAAGTGATTAACTAATCGCAAAAAACAGCTCCTTGAATTTGTTCATATCGGAAAAATTGTGATTACGATCAAAAGTTAAAACTTCCATAAACGAGTTTCCAGGAAAAGCGGGAACATTAAGAAGCAATCCTTTTCCCTCTCTTCCCTTCAGTGCAAATTTCCGCATCTTGTTAAGCTTCAGTTTTGATCATCCGCGATATTTATGGCTAGATGCATGTGGGCACTGTAAAGCGGGAAATAGCCATGCTGTCATACTATTAGTGGTCGAAGATTCGGATCCCGTCAGTGAGACAACCAATCTTTCTACGATTTTTTCATTCGTTTCCACGCCAAATTACAAGTGGTAAGGGAACGAGCGAGAAAAAGGATGAGATGTGTCGTGAACTGAGCCCTCTCTCGAAAATTGTTCTGGATTGAGAGGGAATTGAACAGCTCCTCTTCGCATCCGGACGCAACGTATTACCACTACACCATCGGCACTTATGCTCGAGACCAGCCTGGCTGGCACATTTTCTGTGTGTCTGCCTTTCAAAGCAAAATATACCTTTTATTCTTTGCCTTCCATTAGACAGCTTCCATCTTCTTCTTCTTTGTGGTAGCTTCTTCTCGGCCAGCTTTTCATGGTTTTTCCCGACAAAATGTGAGGAGAGACATGCTAAAAATTTAGCTAAAACGTTTCGAACAAATTCAAATTTCTTTTGTTGTTATAGTTTATTGAGAAAGCAAACTCTCTGGATGTCACGATTGGGCCTCGTCTTTTCCTGCAATGTCCATTAAGTGTGGTGCAATCGCGAGAATGGTTTATCAAGCTGTGGAATCAAATGATTGTTCCCTACATGATCAAAGTAGCAAAAGAAGGTTAGTTTAGCCGAATTCATGTTTATAGCTAAGTGATGAAACACAGAATGCTTCCCTGCGTGTCAGCTGTTTCACCTGGCATGTTCCAATTTTCTGGATACTGTATTTTTATTTCATAAGCCAATTCGTCTGAGCAACGCACTTCAAATCGTTGAAATTGTTCGCAGCCTTTTCAAGAACTATAATTTCGATTAATTCCCATAGTGTGAAAAACGTGATGAAAATTATTATGTTTAGTTGGGAGAGAGAAAAGGGGG